CATTATCTTGGGATTCTTTTCCTTCCTGTATGCCTATGATTCGTAAAGTTTGGTCTTTTTAAGGTGTCACACAATTCCTGCCTATTCTGTTCTTGTGATTTCTTAAATTTTTCATAATCTTTGCTTGAGTGCTCTAGTTCATCCACTTTATCTTCCAGTCTCCATACTCTGTTTTCCATTTCATCCATCCTATTGGTGAGGCTTTCTCCTGTCATTTCTAATTGGCTTAATGAGTTTTTCACTTCCTTGTTCATTTCAGCCTGAGTAGTCTTAAATATTTTTAGGTCTTTTCTGAATTCATTCAGAAGTTTATCCCTATCTTCCTTCAGTTCTTTGATTTCTTTTTTTGTGTGTTATTTAAATTCCCTGAAAATTCTTTTATCATGTTTATAACTGTTCTTTTGAGTTCCATGTCCTCCATTATCTCTAGGGGGTTTCTCATTGTACTCTTCTAGAGGACTATTGGTATTTGGTGGGGATGTGTTATTTTGGTTTTTCATGTCATTATTTTTTTGTCTGTGATTTTGGTATGTGAATTTCTTTGTAGTTTCTGGTTCTTGTGTGAGACTCAGGCCTTCAATTTAGGTCTACTTTTTGTAACTTTGTGTGTCTTTGTGGTTTACTTTTCAAGTTTAGGTCTGCTTCTTTTTGTAAACTTTATGTGTCTTTGTGGTTTAGTTTTTGGGCATGAAAAGCTGGTTCCTCTAAGCTTCTGGTTCTCTCTTTTGATTTTATATTGGAGTGTCCAGATTGCTTTTGTCTTCAGGAGTTCCCACATAGGCCCAAGTCAGATGAGGATCAGATACTCTCAGGCTTTCTTGTAAGGTCTGGATCTGTTCAGGAAAGATTTTGGCCTCAGGAATTTGGGGGTTGGACTGGCCTGGGAGCAGGGCCCAGGAAAGATGCTGGTCTAGGGCATCTGGTGGCCATGCCACCCAGAGATGAAAAGGGAGATGGGGGCAGGAAGAGGCCCCAAGGGCTCCTGGGGACTGCACTGAGGAATTGGGTTGGTCTGGATGCAAAAGATCAGGAAGAGGAAAGGTCAGCCTTGGTGTCCAGGAAAGAGGCTGGTGGTTTGTGCAGCCAGAGAAGCAGATAGAGCTGAGGGTGGGACTTGGCCCTGAGGGCTCCAGGGAGAGAGGCTGGTGGGTTGTGTAGACCAGGGAAGCAGAGGGAGGTGAGGGTGGGGCCAGGCCCAGAGGGCTCCTGGGGACCCGAGAAGGAACTGGGTTGGTCTGGATGCAAAGGATCAGGAAGCAGTGGTGGTTCCCCAGGTGTCTGAGGTGCCAGGACAAGGACAGGACCCAGGCTAGAAGGAGATATGGGCTGGGGAGATGGGGGGGTGAATGAGGCTGGGGTCATCAAGGTGTGAAGGGCATGATCAACTTACCCTGGAAAGAGGCCTGGGGTTCAGAGAGAGCAAAACCTTGATTTTTCATTGTATACTTACCTGATTATTTACTCTGGTAACTAATATTGTCAATTTGACAAGATCTAGAATCACCATGGAAACAAGCCTCTGGGCATGTGTGTAAGGGATTATTTATATTAGGTTAATTGAGGTGAGAAGATTCACTCTAAATGTGGGCAGCACCATTCCATGGGCTGAGGACCCAGACTGGATAGAAAGGAGAAAATGAGTAGAGCTCATGATGCAGGGTTCTCTGCTTCCTGACTGCATGCAGGTGACCAGCTGTCTCATGCACCTGCTGCCATTCGTTTCTCACCCTGACAGTCTATACCTTGAAGTGGAAGCCCAAATAAGTCTTCCTCCCTTGAGTGGCTTTTCCCAGGGTATTTTATCACAGCAACAAGAAAGGCAATGAATACATCTCCCATAAGCAATTGTGTGTCTATAGGGAAAAGCATTTTTGCATGGCACTTCTAAAAGAAAACAAGTTTTTTTTTTCAGTATGGATTTCATAGCATTCATATATATATATTGAATGTGAGTTCCATATGAGAGGCTGGGCTCTGAAGAAGGCAGGGAATGTCAATATGTAATTATCTCTTCCTCTCAGAGTTGTGGCTGAACCAACTACATAGCGTTCACAGATCAAACGTGATTTGATTCTTTAAGAATGTTAAATCATGATTCAGTGTTTTAGAGATACAGTCATCATTTGAAATTGAGTGAATTACAGCTGTCATTTTTAGTTCCTAACCATCTTAGAATCACCTATCAATACCTTCTTGTGTGATAGCTCAGTATTTCACCCTTAAAGTACATGCTGCAATTTCTGTCTCACTCATATTTGGTTTTGTCATGTGACTTACTATGACCAAAATAAAGTGGATTGAAGTTCCAGGGTGAGGCTTTAGGGGGCACCAGAGACCTCTGTTGATGCTCTGACACATCTATGAGCACGGGGAGAAAATCCTGCCTGAAGTTGCCACTGTGTCTTCATCATCAAGATACAGATCAAATCTGACCAGAAGCCTGGAGTCCAGCCTGGCTCAGCCTACACTAGTCTAGACCAGCTGAAGCATATCTACATCAGCAGACCTATGTTTGCTGTTGTAAGCCAGGGTTAAGGGGTCTGTTTTGCAGTGAAATTTGACCGATATACCATAAATTTCTCTCAACCCTCCATCCACTGGAAGCAGATTCAACTTACTTCCAGATGTCAGTTCAAAGTGTGGCCTCCCTTCTTCAGTAGCCATGACGGTGGCCAGTTTCCCTTCTATCATCTCTCCATCAATGAACTTTCCATAAAGTGCAGTTCTCTCATCAGGGTAGACATAGGCTATCTTCTCTCCAGTCATCTCCCCATCTTCATTGACTTCTCCAACAAGGCTACCTCCATCCTGGTGGGAGAAACCAAACCCAGAGGTATTATATATTGAAGTTCTCTATAGGGCATGAGATTTTAAGAGATTTCTCTCCTGCACCCTACTATGAAGAGCAGCAATATGAACAACAATGGTTCAGGAACCCAGAGCTTTAGATAGGAGTGAGAGCTATGCCTGCCCTCTGCATATTGTTCCCCTGCCACATGCAAATACAGTGTTGGAATGTTCTATGCATAGGGGCATAGATGCCTCATTTAGCATGGGAAACTGAAATTTACTTTGTAATCTTAGACTAGCTACTGATACTTTATCTTGGTGGGTTATCTAAGAAACAAACACACTAAACTTGGAACATAATTACAAACACTTAAAGGAAATGTAAGCTATACATTAATACAGCACGTAACTGTAATCCCAGCATTCTGAAGGCTGAGACAGGAGGATTGAGAGTTCTAGGTCAGTCTGGACTACAAAGTGAGACACTCTCAAAAAAAAATGTTATATATAAAAAAAGTTATGAGTCTGTTCATACGATCTCACTTTTCAGTATCTTTCTTTCTTTTTCTTTAAAAAGGCCTCACCTTGTTTCTGAGAGTGGCCTGGAACTCACTTTGCCGCACAGGCTAGGTATAAACTCGCCACGATTCCCATGGCTGCTTCTCAAATGCTGGAATTGCAGGTATGCCCAGCTCACATCTCATCATTACATTTTAGATTTCTAGTTTGCTAAGAAAATGTTTAGTTAAAATGTACTTTCTTCCTCCCAGTGCTGGGGGTTGAACCCAGGGCCCAGGGCCTTGAGTGTGCTAAGCAAACATTCTACCTCTGAGCTACAGCACCAGCCCTGTAAATGTATTTGAAAATTAATTTGGGGCCCACAAGTAAAGATAGAGTTGTCTGTATTTTCTAAGCAATAAATAAAAGTTGTCTCTTCCTCATTACTTCTTTCCCTCTCTTCATTTACTTCTCCCCTCCCCTCCCTCTGAGAGAGGGGTCAGCATTGCTAGATTACTTAGGACAGAGGCTAGCAAATAATTCCATATTCTGGTAGGTGTCAGGGGTACAGTAGATAATTAGCAAACACTTTTTATTTTTTATTTTATGTATGCACATGTGTGTATGTGCATGAATGTGCATGGCTTTGCATGTACCTTAATGGACATGTGGTGGTCGGAGAGCAACTTCTGGAAGTCAGCTCTTACCTTCTACCATGTGGGTCCTGGGGATCAAACTCAGGCCATCTGGCTTAGTGGCAGGTGCCTTTACCCACTAAGCCATTTCATTAGCCCACCAAACAAATTTAACTGGAGTACCAAAGTGTTATGGATAATTAAATCTAGGATGCTGGAGAGGGGCCCACTCCCCACAAAGTCCTTATGGTATAACTTAGAAAATCTAAGACCTTTGTGAACTTGCTAAAGCAATAGTAATGACAGATGTTTCTAAAAGCTGGGTTAATTTCCTTGATTCAAGAGTCTAGGAGAGGTAAGGTGACACTTGAATGACCACCAATGCTGGTTACTGAGCGAGAGGAACAAATAGCATCCCATACACGATTTCTATAGCTCACCATAGTCTAACTGATCTTTAGTGGAAAGAAGATTATAAGCTAAAACAAATTCCATCACTTTCAGAAAAAAAATACTTGGCAGTATTTTCATGGGCAGAAAGTGCATTAGGGCAGTATTTATTGCTTTTTTTCCTTCTGAAGTTAATTCTTAATAATGCAGCATAAATGGGGATGATCCTTTCCATGAATTCTGCCTTCAGGCTGCTTGTGATGACTTTGAGCTGAAGCATGTTAGAGCACTTGTGCTTCTTCTGCTAATAGAAGCCATCTGCATCACTGTTTATTTTAAACTGTCTACTCAGGGTCTTACAACCTTCTTCCCTCAGAAGCTGAGTTTATATTTCTGGAATGATAAAACAGAGATTCTTCCATTTCTTAAAGGGGTTATGAATCTTTTAAAATAAAAAAAAAATGCTGAGCCAGGCGTGGCAGCACACGGCTTTAATCCCAGCACTCAGGAGGCAGAGGCAGAGGCAGGCGGATCTCTGTGAGTTCAAGGCCAGCCTGGTCTACAGGCTAGCTAGGGCTACAGGAAGACCCTGTCTCAAAAGACTGAAAAAAAAAAAAAAACTTTTAAAGTTAAAAAAAAAAAAAAACTTTTAAAGTTAAAAAAAAAAAAAAAAAAAAAAAACCTTGTAAGTTAAAAAACAAAATAAAACAAAAGAACTTTGTGGGGCTGGAGATGTAGCTCAGTTGGAAGACTGCCAGGCTAGCATGCAGTAGGTCCTGGGTTTGATCCCCAGGGTGGCCCAACCTGGGTGTGGTGGTGTATACCTGTAATCTCAGCACTCTGGAAGTAGAGGCAGGAGGATCAGAGGTTCAAGGTCACCCTAAACTACATAGAGAGTTTGAGGCCAGCCTGGACTATACAAGACTCTATCTTAAAAAAACAAAATAGCAACAACAAAGATTTTTTATCACAATTTGATGGAAAAGTTTGAAAGAAACTCTTACAGTGATCTTATGAGCATGATGGGGAGAACAGTTATGTTTTTCCTACCCCTTGTTCTTGCTTTGATCCTTTCTCACAAATTGGTCCCATGTGCTCCATCAAGGAGTATAGGGGAAAGAAGCTATTACCTTATCTCGTCTGCTTACTGGATCCCCCTTGCAGAAGGAAGAGTCATTTATGTGATGGTCAGAAGGTAGGTCTGACACCCGCTGATACCTATTTCTCTACTGGGTGGGATTAACAAGAGATAGGCTGCCAAGGTGTCCAGCCTCATTTTTCGCTCACCCTTTCCTGGGTACCCATAGGCATGATGGCCTGGAAACAACCCCAGGAAGGCCCATGCCCTCATGGGAACCCACCAGTGCTTGCTGTTGGTCCAGTTCAAAGGAAGGGACAGAGCCCACTGAGGCTTTGGGTGCATACCATACCCCCAACCCTACCAACTACAGTGAAAACTGGAAATTTGATCCCTGACACCTATGGGCATTTCTTTTTAATTTTTTAAATTGAGCTTTTGTACACTTGATACAACAGTTCTTAATAACATTTAGACCCTCTCCGCCATCCACGGCCCTCCCCACTGGACCTTATGTATTCTGCCATACATGTTACGTCCTAGCATTTGTACCCAGATGTCCTTCGGTACAAATGCATCCACTGGAGTCAAGTCAGCCTATCTAGAGACTGTTGGTAACTCCCCCCCTCCCACAGTAGTAATCAGTCTCCAATAGTTCCCAGACTAGGGCTGATATGCCACCCACTTCCCTTGGTCCACTCTGGGCCCTTGTCTGACTGAGTTAGCATGGGTCCTGTGCTCGATGCCACCATTGTCACAAGTTCACATGTGCAAACTTCCAGTGTCCTGAAAGCCTCTGCTTCCTTGTGTTCATGAACCAACTCTGGCTCTTACAATCTTTCTGCCCCCTCTTCTGAAATGGTCCTTGAACATTTGTATTTTTGAGACAAAGTCTTTACATAATCTAGGCTGACCTTGAATCTGTACTAGCTGAGGATGACCTTGAACTCCTGATCCTCTTGCCTCTACCTCCCAAATACTGGGACTACAAAGGTACACCACTGTACCTGGCCTGCTGTTATTAATAACTATAAGAGGAAAGTTTCCAGAGTAAGCAGAAATGTATTTTGACTTAAGCCCTGGACATGATAAAACAGTAAATAAATGTATCCTAAGGTCTATTTTCTGAAACATATTTTTGCAAATTCACTAACAGATAGGATATTTGAAATGCAAACAAAAATTAGAGCGTTAATTCCCACCATGGGCTTTGCCATATCTATTTGCTATAGTAAACTCCAGAAATATGATCATTATTAAATACTTGAAGACAAATTAATTTAAATCCTCCTAATATAAGCAATACAATCTATAAAGCACCTTCAAATTAGGAGATTGTACATCAAGCAGAAATGGTGTAGTAACTCCAGAAAGACTGAAAATTGCTGGATTCAACTGTACATGTAAGAAACAGGATAAAATTAATAGCAATAGCCAGAGGTGGTAGTGTACATCTTTAATTCCAGCACTTAGGAAACAGAGGCTGGCAGATCTCTGTGAGTTTGAAGCCAACCTGGTCTACACAGTGAGTTAAAGGCCAACCAAGGCTACATAATGAGACCCTGTCTCTAAACAATCAAACAAACAAAGCAAAACAAAACAGTCTAGCAATAATGAAATACTCCACCCCTTCTTTCTATCTGCCAAAGGAATTAATTAAAATCAATATTTTTAAACTTTATTAATGGTACAATAAAACTAATTTGTACCAGTGATGAGTAAATCTTCAAAACGACTCTGCAGAATAATCAATAGCAAATCCAAAGCCTACCCATCTAGCACCTAGTGGATGATAGCAGGCAGGTAGGCTTCAGAAACTCTTGGCTTTAGTGATTAATTTGTGGCTTCACCAAGAATACATCTGACTGCTTATCATGAGGAGTCGAAACATTGTCTTAAAGCCTGCTCCTTTTCCCTCAAGAGTGTACAGACTCAGGCTTACTGGGAAATGGATCCAACACACTCCATGTCGAATGTTGTCTTTGTATTGCCCCTTGAAGATCAGTCTCCCATCTGTGTCATACTCCTGGGCTGGTCCATTCAGCTCGCCATCTACATACGTGCCCTGGAGAACACCTCCATCCTCATAGGTGTAAACACCCTGGCCTTGCAGGGCATCGTCCACATAGTACCCCTCCAAGGTGCTGCGAGGCAAGGGAGAACAGAAACGAACAGTCAGACCATAACATAGTTCTCTCTCTTTATAATTTACGTGTGTGTGCGCGCGTGCGTGCATGCGTGTGTGTGTGTGTGTGTGTGTGTGTGTGTGTGTGTGTGCTACAGTGTTCGTATGGTAATCAGAAGACAACTTGTGGAAGTTGGTTTTCTCGTCCCATCTTGAGGGCCCTGGGGATTGAACTTGGGTTGTCAGGCTTGGTGGCAAGTGCCTTTACCTTCTGAGCCATCCTGCCAACCCAGACACAGCTCTCTCTTAAGAGAAAGGATCAGGTTCAAGGACCTGCATCCCCAGTTCTTTTTCAACCCCTGGCATGTATTTAGGACATCATCTGGAATTATCATAGATAGATGACTAAGAAAAAATGCTTCATAAAGATGGATAATGGCTGGTGATGTTCCCTCATTGATTAGAGCACTTACTAGCATGCCCAAGGCCCTGGGTACAATTCCTAGCACCAAAAAAAAAAAAAAAAAAAAAAAAAAAGAAAAATGTTGGGTGAGATGAGGGAGAGGCTTAACTCATAATTTCTTGATTCCTATTAATTTTTCTTCTTTGCAGAAGGAGAGAGAGAAGAAAAAAGTCACAGGTGAGGCTGAGAACAATCTCATCTCACCATGTCTCCATACTGGGCACTACAAGTTCTGCTGATACCTTCTTGACCTAAGACAGCTCATATTTAATTTCTCTCAGTGATTCAAATTCACTGACAGGGCTCCAGGTTCTTTCAGATGGCTTCCATATAGGAGTCTTCAGTTATAAAAGTATGGCTTAGCATGTGTAAGTGCCCACATTAGTTTTAAGTCATTAATATTGTATTCAACAGAAGCAATCATAACTGGTACCCAATCAAAAGACTCCCCTTTGATCTCTTAGAAGACACATGGGGATTTATTTAAGTGTGCATATGAATGTGTCTGTACGATACATACATATACAGCTATGCATCACTTAATGACAGGAATAGGCTTTGAGAAATGTTGTTATTAGGTGATTTTATCATTGTGTGAACATGTGTACATCATAAGTATACACACACAAATCCGGATGCCACAGCTGGCTCCACACTTATGTTACATGATAATCTTGCAAGACTGCTGTAGCACATGCTGTCCATAGAACCGTGGACATGTGACACATAACTGTACACACACCCTCATCCACAGCATTATGGCCAGGGGGATCAGGAGGGTGGCTCAATCTTGCTGGTGCCATTAGGAGCCGATAAAGACTGGGCACTGTGGTGCTGGGCCAAAAGAAAGCCTGAAGAAGGTTAGTGTTGATTTTACAAGCCTGCTTCTACCTCTGTCATCAGAAAATACATTTTGAAGTTCAGAAATGTTTTTAGTGTTCCTCTAAGGTCATTATGCAATGAAATTAACTTTACCAAAATTCCCTTTGGAGTAAAGGGGAGGGCAGCTCAAATTATTTTTAAAATTTAAAAGGTAAGGGCCAGCAAGATGGTTCAGTGGGTAAAGGCACTTGGCATCAAAACTGAGGAACTGAGTCTGATCTCCAGGTATACCTGGTGGAAGGAGAGAACCAACTTGCTACCTCCATGTGCAAGCCAAGGCATGTGTGCACTGCCCCCCATATACATACACAACATAGATAAATGTAATTTAAAAATTAGGACAATTTAATTGTAGCTAGCATTACAAAGAAGCAAAGAGTTTCATTAACTGACAGCCTTCATTCATGAACTCAGCTAGTAAGCATTTAAGGCGTGCTTTCTAAGTAGTAAGCATTGTATGAGGTGCTATCGAGCATGTTGCACAGAATAAGATAAGCCAGCAGTTTCTCCAAGCAAGCACACACCGCCCAAGCATAATGTGGGACAAGCACACACAGTATACTGGCGTAGGCAGGACAAGCACACACCATGTACTGTGTTAAGTGGGACAAACGCACACTGTGTACTGGGACAAATGCACATCGTGTACCCGGGCAGGTGGGATGCAAAGCAGGGCATGAGGACTGAGGTGGCTGCCCTGACTCTGCCTGGTAAAGCCTTGTCTTGTGATTGAGAATGATCTGTAATTACTAAATGAAACACACAGCTCAAATGGCGACAACCTCTGATTCCATCATAATTACACTATTTGTGGTCTCCCAAGGAGATAAATAGTTCTCTTTCACGTTTGTTTGTATTATCAATGACAAATAGGCTTATTAAATTCATGAAGAGAATAAAGTATACTTTAACATAGCTTTTGCATAAATAATCAAAACTCTAAATTCAGTGAGGCTGGATTAATGAGATTCAACTGTCATTAGATTCACACAATTAAAAAAAGAGAACACCCTCGGTGAAGGATTGCTAATCAACTGACAGGATGATGTGGCATACAGTGCAGGAAAGCTATTCAATCATCTCTTCATTTTGGGAACTGCCAGATAAAATACAAGATGCCCAGTTAAGTTTAAATTTCAGACAAGTAATAAATTTCAGTAGGTGTATATCCCAAATATTGAATATAAAAAGATAAATATGAACATATAATTTTTGTGGGATTTTTTAGTATGAATTTCCAATTTGACTGAATGTTCTTTTTTTTTTTTTTTTTTTTTTTTTTTTTTTTTTTTCTACTCTAACATTCCCCCTCTGAGCTTGGGGGGTATATAGACCAGGCTAGCCTCAAATTCACAGAGATCCTCCTGCCTCTGCCTCCTGAGTTCTTGAATTAAAGGCATGTGTGCCCAGCCAGTTCTAGGTTTTGTTTTTTTTTTTTTTTTAATTTTATGTTTGAGTGTATTGCCTACATGTATGTGAGTGCACCCAAGTTGTGCAATTCCACGGAGGTCAGAAGAGGGTTTCAGATTTCCCTGGAACTGGAATTAAGGATGGTTCGTAGCCGCCATGCGGGTGCTGGGAATCGAACCTGGGTCCTCTGCAAGAGCAGTCAGTGCTCTTAACTGCTGAGCCATCTTTCCAGCCCCCATGTTCTGGGTTTTTATTTGCTGGTCCTGGTAACCCTCTTGACTTTGGACTCTCAGCAGCATTCAAAGTATCCCTGTGTATATTTGGGTAGAATAATCCTAACAGACGACCTTGCCAGTATTTCTCAGGCTCATTATCAGATTCTCAAGGCAGAAGAAGTCTCTCAGATGAGTTAAAAAATAGCAAGGACTTGCACATATTTGTGTGAGTGTGGTTGTGCATGCCATGGCTTGCGTGTGGAGGTCAGAAGATAACTTTTGGGAGTCCATGCTCTTCTTCCACTTTGGATTCTGGGAATTGGACTAAGATCATCAAGGCAAGTACTTTTACTTACTGAGCCATCTTACTGCATTCCTATCCCTAAGCATTCTCAATGACTTTTCCTTGGCCCCCTCTCATGTCACTAAGAAACATGTTTTCCTCTGCCCAGCTGAGTTATGGTACACAAGGGCAAATTCTTAGGCACTAGAGCAGAGTTCTTTTCTTCTCTCCCTTTCTTCCCTTCCCTCCTTCCCTCCCTACCTTCCTTCCTTCTTGAGTCTCATGTAGTTCAGGCTGGCCTCTAACTCATTATGTAGCTGAGGATGACCTTGGATTATAGGAGTGCTCCACTACCCAGTTTATGTGGTACAGAAAGTCAAACCCAGAGCTTTCAGCATAGTAGGCAACCACTCTACCAACTGAGCTATATCCCCAGCCCCTAGGGAGGAGATATTACTGCATTAACTTTTCATCATGTTCTAATGACACTGCTTAGCTTTCTTGGTAACATTTTATGGTTAACTGGATGGAATGTTATAATGTAATAGTATGTAACACCTCTGAATGGGGTTCTCTTGGGAAATGGAAATAAGTTACTGAAATCCTATCACTGAGAAGATGAAAGAACAGCTTCTTAGACGGGCATTCAAGGTGATACCATTCTTTCTAGCTTTTCCTTCTTTTTAAAAAATGTTTTATTATTTTTATATGTATGCGTGTAGGTAAGTGCTCCCATGTTGTGCAATGCTTGAGGAGGACAGAAGAGGCTGTTGGATTCCCTGGAGGATGCCCTGGAACTGGAGTTATGGACAGTTGTTAGCTGCCATGTGGGTGCTGGGATTCGAACCCAGGTCTTCTGCAGGAACATTCAATGTTCTTAACCGCTGAGCCATCTCTCCAACCCTTTAGCTTTTTCTTCTATGGGACACTGGTAAGCCATGACCTGCTGTTTGTTTTCATAAAGTTTTATTGGAACACAGCTGTACACATTCCTTTCCACAGACTGTGGCGATCCTCACATTAAGACGGAGGAGGTGAATTGCTGTAATAGAGACTGTATGTGCCCACTGAGCCTCACTGTTATTCTGTACTGAAAAAAATTGCTGCTTCCTGTTCTAAAATCTTCTATCACATTAGTTTACATCTTTTTTTTTCTTTTTTTTTTGTCTTTTTGAGACAGGGTCTCCCTGTAGTCCCAGCTGACCTGAACTCACTATGTAGACCAGGCTGGCCTTGAACTCACAGTGATCCTCCTGCCTCTGCCTCCTGAGTGCTGGGGTTAAAGGCGTAACCACCATGCCTGGCTTAGTTTACATCTTTGGCCTTTGTATTTTACCTTCCATACTGTCTTTCCCTTAAAACATGTGTGAGTTAACTTTTTAAATCTCTGAGGGCACATTCAAGAAAAAAAGCACAGGTTACATTTCCTTCCTTCCTTCTTTCCTTTCTTCTCCCCGCCCCCTTTTACATTCAAATCAAAGCCAGCCTTGGAATAGTATGGATATTCTCAATTCTCTGACATTTGTCTATTCAAATAAGATTAAATGGCGTTTTTTGTAGCTACTAAAAGGCAATATATGTCCATATTTGAAAAATAGGTATATAGAAGCAGCTCTCCAATTTTTCTTTTTCTTTTTCTTTCTTTCTTTCTTTCTTTCTTTCTTTTTTTTTTTTTTTTTGGTTTTTTTGAGACAGGGGCTCCCTGTAGCCCCAGCTGACCTGGAACTCATATGTAGACCAGGCTGGCCTTGATCTCAGAGATCCAC